CTTGCAGCACAGAGTAGTGATGGAAGGTTCCTTGAAGTTCACCTCTTGTCTGAGGACCGCTGTTCGTGCAGTCACGGCTGTTGACTCATTTCATTGCAGGGTCACACTACGTCATTCTGGTTTGGCTTGCAGGAAGCAAAGAGCAGCTTGCTTGATGCAGAGAATTTATAAATTAGGAGGGTTGATATCATTTCAAAAACAAGCACTTAAGAAAGAAGAGTTGTTGCCAGGCTGCGCCGGCTGGCTGGCTTTCGGGAGCTTGGGCTGAGCTGTGCCAGTATCTTCAGCAAGAATGTGTTCAGAGGCCATCAGAAAGGTCTTTCCAGAGCTGTCAGGGATAACTAAACAGCTACCCTATCTGAAGTTACAGCTCCGTGGAGGCTGTACTGAAGAGGGTCCACACACTGGAAATGTACCAAGATGCAACCCACAAATCTATAGCAAGGACAAACCCAGGGAGTGCAGGCTGTCTGGTGGGGAGTGAGGCAGCCAGAGAATTTTCCATGGGGCCAGATCAGTCAGGAGCTGGCTCTGCCTCTCCCTGAGTCAGACGTGAAAAGCTGAGTGGTTCAAGTGCCAAGATCCAGTCTGAGGGCAAATGCAATTTGAATCCATGAAAGTGAAGAACAGTGAGGGTGCAGGATTGGAACTCCCACCTTTGCTGTTTCCTAGCAGGTTGTGCAGAGAGAGGCTGGTTACTTCCCTGAAGAGCCCCAGCTCCCTCACCCATAAAGGGAAATAAACCAGAGGAAACCTGGACAGTATAATTGGCCCTTGTATCTGTGGATTCTGCATCCACAGATCCAACCAATCACAGATCAAACATATTCAGGGGGAAAAATCGCATCTGATTGAACATGTGCAGACCTTTTTTTTTTTTTTCTTGTCACTATCCCCTAAATAATACAGCATAAGAGCCATTTATAACTCTTATTAGGCAAGATTTATAATTAGGGATTATAAATCATCTAGAGATGATTTAAAGTCTGCAGGAGGGTATCCATGGGTTATATGCAAATACTACACATCTTATATCAGGGACTTGAGCATCTACGAATGTTGGTATCCTAGTTGGGGCTGGGGATCCTGGAACCAAGTTCCGCTGACACCAAGAGACAACTATACTTTGAGTAGTATGAGGGAAAAGGCTCACCCAGCACTGGGCCTGGCCTATGATCAGTGCTAGGTAGAGGTTAGCATGGATAATAATCTTTATTAATTAGTGAATAATCTTTAGCCAGAACTTACAGACCCATCTTTTATTCGGTACTGTGCTGGGGATGGAACCCAGGACTCTTTCGTGCTAGGCAAGTACTCCACCACTGAATGACATCCCCGACCCTCGTATGTTCCTTAAATTTTAGTCAGGAGTCTGTAGCTTATGTTCGGCAGCCCACCCTTCCTTGCTGAGGCATCTGATGACTCTACTTGAAAACTGGTTGGTTTTCTAGTGTGAACCTGAAAAAAAGATGGCCATGCGAGACTGGACGGGGTCAGCCTTGTTCAGTCTTTATTTTATTTTTAAATATTTGGTGCTGCTGGGGATCCACTGCTTGTGAGGCAGGCACTCYACCACTGAGCCACACCACCACTGAGCCACACCCAGCCCTTATTCAGGCTCACCCATCCCTCTGATGGCAGCCTGCTTGCTCAGGTGGGGAAGGTTCAGGGTCTCCAGTCTCACTTCTATTTCCTTCCCACTTCTCCTTTCACATCTCTTCCCATCCGTCTTCTTCCCCCCATGCTCCTTTTTTTTTAAATTCTCTCACCCCGTCCCTGTCAATCTTACTTGTTTCTCCTAAAGGCCTGGCCACCAAGCGTCGGCATTAGCTTTCCACTGAAGTGAGTCAGTCTTCATCCTCCACCTCCTCCATCACCAGTAGGTACCTGCTGAGTCCAGTCCCCTCAAGGGACCTTCCAGCCACTCCTTCCCCAAATGCCTGACTATTCTGTGYCCCCCACCACCACCTCTTAAAGGCTCCACAGCATCTCCCACTAGCACCCACCCTGGGGACCAAGCCTTTAACACATGGGCTTTGGGGAGACATTGAACTTGCAAAGTATAGCAAACATTCACAAGGCCCTGATGGTATTTGCACTCAGTATTTGGTCTGCATTTTAGCCAGAATAGTCTATTGTGATGTGGAAAACCCCTGGGGCAGGACTCTGCTAAGATCTGATAGGCCTACAGGAGCTCAGGGAAATGTGTTGGCTTTGGAATAGAAATGGAAGTTAGTTTGTTGTTTTTGTTAAGTTCTGGSGGTTCCATGCTACACCTGGCTGAGGCTATTTCTCAACTGATAAATACAGGGTTTCAGTTCTCTGGCTGTGTTTGGGAATTAGAGGACATGAGTATTCAAAATTGTCTTTGATAAGGAGAAGCAAGTTAGTTTTTTTTTAAGATTATCTTATGGTAAATAATGCAATGACCACTGACCAAAATACTAACAAGTTGGTTGTCAGCTAGCAATATTGTTAGAACAGTGTATAATCCCTGGGATCAGTTTGATTAGGACGTTTTTCCCTCTTCTGGGTTCTGTATTCTTTGAGCTGCATCAAAACTTAGTGTAGGGGCTGGAGATGTGGCTCGGGGAGGAAGTGCTTGCCTAGCATGTGTGAGACCCCTGGGCTTGATCTCCAGTTCAGGAAAAAAAACAAAAAACAAAACACCTTTGAGTAGAGTTTGGGCAGAGCCAGGGAGGTGCTCCAGACCCARAGGACAAGAATGATGTGTAAATTAGAAACACAGTTGATAATTAATATGGAAAAGTACCTATTAGTTATAGGATATTATCTACTTGCAAATAAAATAAAAAGAAACCCTGCAACTATAACAACACCTCACACTGGAATGAGCTTGCTAAGTGCTGGACACTCTTGCAAGTTCATCACATATGTCACTTTATTTAACCCTCATGGCAACCCTGTGCAGTGGGTATGGCATGGAGGTAGCATCATTTAACCATTAGGAAGATGGACACTCTCAGCCCTGAATTCAGGGAAAGCAAGGCTGCTGGAGACTGGATGAGATGGGGAAACCCATCGTAGTTCACTTGGGCTGCTATCACAAAATATCTTRAATTGGGTGGCTTATAAACAAGAGAAGTTTACTTCTTACAGTTCTGGAGGCTGGGAAGTCCAAGATCGAGGTGCCAACAGATCTGGTGCCTGGTGAGGGCCCACTTATAGTGGCTTCTTGCTGTATCCTCACTTGCTGAAGGGGCAAGGCTGTTCTCTGGGACTTTTGTTTTGTTTTTAGAAAGGCATTAATCCCATTCATGAGGGCTCCACCCTCTGACCTAATCACCTTCCAAACGCCCCAACCCCTAATAACATCACCTTGGGTGTTAAGATTTTGACACATGAACTTGGGGGACACAAACATTTAGACCACAGCAGAGTCCATTGTCCCTCAAAGGATGGATCTGTTGCTACTTTCTTAAAAAGAAATTTTAGCTAATAATTGTTGATATTTGTGACAATAATAATTCTCGATTTTTTATGAAAAAAGTTCTATTTTTGGTATTAAGAATATTATGACTTTGCTTAGCATCGGCCTTTTGGATAACCCAAGATTYTCCTAGGAACTCAAAGTACCAACCCTTGTTACCCAAGTCCAAATGCAGCACATGCAGATTCTGAGAATCACCTTTAGTTTCATTCATTGAGCACAGGTTCATCAGAGGTGCTGAAACCAAAAGCAAAGTAAGGAAAGAACATTATATTAGTTATAACAAAATACCTGAGATGATTAACTTAAAAAGGGAAAAGTTTTATTTTGGATCAAAGTTTTGGAGGTTCCAGCCCAAGATCAGTTGAGCCCATTGCTTTGGGCTTCTCCTGGGTGGTAGACAGCGAAGGCAGCATGTGACAGAGCAAACTTCTCACCTCATGGCCACCTCATGAAGCAAAAAAGAGATAAAGAGATCCCACAATCCCCTCAAATGCCCCCAATGACCTAAGGACCTCCCAGCAAGCCCCACCTCTTAAAGGCTCCACAGCATCTCCCGATGGCACCATCCTGGGGACCAAGCCTTTAACACAGGGGCCTTTGGAGGACATTGAACATGCAAAGCATAAAAAATATTCCCAAGGTCCTAATGAGATCTAAACTAGGTGTTTGGTCTACATTTTAGCCAAAATTCTCTCTCTGGACATCGACTTACTTTGGGATTACATTCTGTTGAGTGACAGATTTTCTTAGAAGGGCTGGTATCTCTGACTTATTGCCAGCAGTCCTAATATTAGTGGTGTTATTTAGTAATAAAATCATAATAAACTCTTTATGGTGACTCAGTCAGTCACCCAGCTCACACATTCAGCCCATCTTCAACTACTTCTCTATTATGAGTCATGGAAAATATTTGATTTGAAAACAACGTGGCGGTCAGTGAGTTGCAAATGGCATACTTTGCACTATGTGTGATTTCTTCCTGTCCCTTCTATTAATGTCAATAGTGGAACAAAAAAAAAATGGAAACCTGAAGTACTGTTCTGAGAATGTTTCAAGTCAAGGCTTCTGTTCTGATCGCCATTATTCATTAGGTAGCTACCCAGGTATGGACAAAAGGGTAAGTTTAAGGGGACAGTGGCAAAGCAAGATTCTGTCCCTCAGAGAACGAAAACATGGACTTTTTCAAGGTCAAAAATCTCAACTAGTTACAGAAGTTAGTGGTGTATAAAAATATATGACAGTTTATTGATGTGTAGGAGACAGATGTGCAAGAAATTGTGGCAGGATGATTTACAAGAGTGTAACAGAAAAGCACAACCCTGGGTGTTATTAATATTATATTGCAGGCTTTGCCATTTGAATGAATACAAATGAATGAGTCAGAGTTGGCTTTGTAAGTTTTTATATGCTTATATAATTAGAAAAATTATCTCCTTAAGGGCTGGACTTCTAAATATTTGCTTAATATGATTCATTAATTAAACATGTGAAAGTACTTATTTAGCATAAAACTAGGGGACTCTCGGTATCCGTTTTGTTTTTTCAGAATGAAAGTGCCCTTGTGAAAGAAAAAGAGCTGTCAATCGAACTTGCAAACATCAGGGATGAAGTTGGTAAGTAGGGCATTGGAAATGAGGACCCTAAAGAATGTCTTTTCCTGATTCCTGTGAATGTGTAACAAAAGCAATTATGTCTCCTGTAAAAAGCCTGAGCAAACCTGCCTGAACGAATGAAGTGTCTTACCCAGCACAGCGGTAGGCTGCTGAAGCCTCGCGGGGAGCCATAATTTTTACGTGTCTGTTGTTATAAAGACAGCCTCATAACAGTTAGCAGTGAAACTAATCACGCYTTGACTCTGCTACTCACAGATGGCGGCACATACATCAGTCTGTGTTGTTGGCTGCGACAAGCACCCCTCTATCTAAGCACCTCTGATAATATGTGGGGCTGCCTGCTAAATGCAGATGTTGCATGGCTGCCTGCCACTGTATACAACCTGCCATGAAATACCCTGTGAACTAGAACAAGATCAAAAACAGATCTGTCTGGGTCAAAACTATGAGGATGCATGTTGAAAGGACTAATATTTGGCCATTGGAGTGGTTTAGTTCAGTCAGAACCATGAGAGGCTTTCCCAATAAGAGGATGATCCCCAACCACTGAGGATGTGAGGAGAGATGGGCTTTCCCTCTGGACAAAGTGTTACTGTTGTTGACCGGTGACAAGTCCTTGCTTCCCCAATGTTGAAGAATGACACCAGAGAAGCACACAAGGTCAGAGTAGAAATTAGAAGTTTATTAAAGGACAGCAGAAAAGACTTCTCCCGGAGGAAGAAGGGGACCCAAGAGGGGGAATCCGCTGAAGTGCGGTTGTCTCTCCATTTTATAGTTTTCGGTGATGGAATGTAGGTGGGAAGGCCCAGGGGTGGGACACAGGTGGGCCAAAGAAGTAATCTGGGCACTTCCCGGTCAGCATCTTTAAATTTGCTGTTCATTAACATTTCTTTGGGATGGGCTATCTTCAAATCTGCTGGGGGCTGTTCCCTGGACTTCATTAACATTCCGAGAGTTGCTCAACTTTTCCGGGAATTCATTCTCATGGCCTCCATTTTAGATTTCACTCGATATTAGACCCAATTTACCTAACTACACTGACTACCTAATTTTAAATCTGGCTTCAAAAGGACTAGTTGGAGTATTTGCATGTTCTCACTTCTTGATCCTATTTTCTTTCTTGACCACCCATGACTCCATATCTCCAGGAATCAATCAGCAAAAGTGAAATACACATGGCCCCTCCCTATTGGCCTGCTCTTCTTCTCCATCTGGTGTGGTCCTGGGAACAGCTCACCTGAGCAGGTGTGGCCCCTCCACCAATGAAGGGACTTGGACCATCCCAGCCATCCTCAGCAGGGGGCCAGCCACACAGATAGGCAGAACGCCACCTTTCCCTGAGACCACAGGCCTGCAGCTGTGCTGTGGACAGGACAGTGAATTTCAAACTTAGCTTTTCTCCACTGATTTCTTTCCTCCCCCTCTTCTTTAAAATTTATTTTTTTCTTTCTGGTGGGTTTTGTGGCTTCTTTTGTCATTGGAATAGATCAGCAATGGTCACTACTCCCCTCTAAGAAGAGCAGGCCCCTGTGGGAAGGCAAAAATAACAGTGCTCCATGCCAGTCTCACCCAGTGTGACCTACAGCTGCAGGGCACCCGCTCCTGGGCACCACTGAGAAGGAGCCAGGGAATTAAAAATCCAGATATAGGCTTTTATGGTGATCCCAGCCAGGAAAGGCAATGGCGGCACGTGGGAGGGAAGCTGGGGTGCAGGAGAGCAGGGCTGACACTGTTGGGTGGAAGAGCAGCCACCAGGGAGGGAGAGGTGACACCTGCTCCCCTCTGGAAAGTTTCATCCTTGCTTATTACTGCAGCTGTTGTTTTGGTAGTGACTGAGTCTCATTTCCTGAAGTCTCCACCATTCCCTTCCCATCTATTTTCCTTTGGGTATCAACCAGGGTCTTCTCAGCTGCAGCTCCCAAGGCCTCAGTGCCAAGGCTCCCAAGCTTGCAGCCTCTGTCTCCACTGGAGTTCCTTTCCCACGGTGGCCCCCCATGAACCAGACCCCACTTAGGTTCTCAAGGGCTCGAGTGGAGAGTGACCCCCTCACACACACTTTTTTTCATAAAGGGAAGCCCCTGGCACACTTGCTGGTGGTGAGCCTGCCAAATGCTGGGGACTGTTTTCATTCCCCTCCAAGGAGGCCTCCCATCCCATCCACCAATGGAGCCATTGGTTCCCTGCACAGTTGGACTGTTTACTCTGTGAATGTGCACATCGTACATACCTGTGCACACACAGGGGACCTTCTCATTGATGACTCCCCATGGTCTCTTCAAAAGAACATTCCTCCCTCTTCTCCCATTGATAGAGACCATTGTATCCAAAAGGAGTATCTCCTTCCTGGATTCTAACTGCAGAGACCCACCCCTCCAATCTCCCGACCTCAGGCTCTATGTGCAAGGTGCTGTGACTTGAGACATCTCCCTCCAAGTAAAGCCGCAAAAGAATGAGTTTGACCTAAACTGACCCTTAGGGCAATTCCCAGGTAATTTAAGCATGAAGACAGCTGTGAGCCCTTGATCTTGCCCCTTCTGGAATCATGGCCCTTCCCCTCCAGATGGCCCCTCGTGGCACTATATGAGGCATAGGGTAGAAGGTTCCATTTGCAGTGACCAATGTCTCCATAATTTTTTTTCAGATTCCCAAGGCCAAATACATACTCACAACTCCATTTACTAAGTAGGTAGATCTAGGTGACTTAGGTGTGTATGTCTTAACAATGTAATTGCCATTTTGAAAAACAAGCATWAATTGAAAGAAAATAACTATATTTCCATTTCATGTGAGAAACCATGCTTACTAGTGGTAGGTGTGGGCTGTGGGGCCCAGCACAGCTTCTCAAACTGTAGAAGCAGGTTGGACCATGCTACCTTCGGTTCCTGTTTCACAGCTTTTCCGTGTGTACTTTTTATCACAGCAACATCCAAAACCTCAGCTCTACTAAGATTAGGTATCACCAAAAGGAATGAAGTGAGCTGTGTTGCACTAATGTCAGACTGTGAACTGGAGCTCCTGAGGGCCAACAGAGACCCAGCACTGATGTGCTACCCTGGGAGTTTTAAGATGCCCCACAATGTCTCTGTGAGTTTGTCAGCACACAGTTTTGGAAGCACAAAACCTCTGTTCTCAGAGGTCAAGAGATTTGAGGATGAAAATGGGTAGGTCAGCCAGGAATGGTAATCCCAGGGACTTGGATGGCTGAGGCAGGAGGATCACAAGTTCAAAGCCAGCCTCCACAACTTAGTGAGGCCCTAAGCAACTTAGTACAACCTATCATAAAATTAACACACACACACACACACACACACACACACACACACGGCTGGGGGTATGGCTCAGTGGTTAAGTGCTCCAGGGTTCAATTCCAGTACCCCCCCCCAATAAAAAGGCGGTGTGGGGGGGTGGTCTTTAGAGACTCAGGAACTGAAAGTTGTTGGTGATTGTTCATGCAGAAAAGTATACAGTCTTGTCCCATGTGAATTACACCTCCTGCTACCTTCTTTTCCTCTTTGAGCAAGACATGATGGTATTAACTTAGGGAGTGATAAGTCAATGAAAACATTGACTTAATAGATTTTCTCTGAAGTTTTCCATTGGGAGGTATCATGTCCATAGACCTGAAATACTATAAGCCAGCCTCTGAGTACGTTTCTCCATGAAATGGACGAGTTTGTAGGTGGTTCCAAGGGCTGGAGGTTCCCAGCATGGGCTTCATAGGGTGAGTTGTTTGGCCTCCCTGTACCTCAAGTTCCCTTTCATAAAATGGAAAGTCAATTACAGAAGAAAATGCTGATACAGCACTCAGCAAAGGTGACTCTTATAACTATAGCACCTTGAATCTAAAAATAGAGTACAAAATTCTCTTCTATCTTGGGAAAAGATACAACATATCCCTCCCCAGAGAGATGTCTACCCTACCACAGGCAAACTTTGGATCTGGGGAGGTACAACTGATGCAGCTGGGTTTAGTGTGCCAAGTCCAAGGCTACAGCTCTCTGCACTTCTGAAAACTTCTAAATGCAACAAGCATTTCTCAAGAATTACATCTTTTCTTTTTTGAAGTCATTTGTTTTCTGCATTAGTGCTAAGAATAGAACCAAAATTTATCTGCCAAATTAAAAAAGCCCGTGGAGGCAGGGCAGAAAGCCCTGGCAGCACACCTTGTCTGTTCAGCCCAGCATTTGTCCCAAGGATACTTCATGAGCAAGGTCCGGATCCACTGTCTATATTGCATATGTCGGGGGGCGGGGGATAGGGAATGTGGGGATCCACTGTCAATTGTAAAGCCCATAAATTCTGGAGTCTCCACCTGCCCTGTGTTTCCTGGAATAAGAAGAGAATAAAGCTGATAAACCTCACTGCTAAAGGATCCAGAGGGAGACATGGYCAGCCGCAAGCCCTCACCAGCAGCCCTACCCTTAGTCCTACCTCTTATCAGCTTGTCTGATAGAAGTCACTAGAGATAGAAAGAGTCTGAGGGAATGTAATTTCCAAAACTGTGAATTCAGACAGAAGAAAGGAAGAAGCTGCCAAAAGTCAGAATCACTCAGGCATATTTATCACAGATTCCAGAACAGGGCTGGCTTGTCCTGCAAATCTAAAGCTTTCTGCTTAAACTTTCTCACATCCCATTGTRAAGTACAGTGAAGTCTGAGAACCAGTGAACACACTGATCTGGGTCAGAAACAAGGTCAGGGGGCAGCAGTAGGTAACTTGGACAGGCCTGAGAGGGTGGGCTCCCATGGTTGAGGGCTCGCTCTGGGCTGCAAGGAGGACAGTGAAAGAAACTCACATGCAGGGGGAAGAGTCCAGAGTCTCAGAGAACTGGTTGTTGATGTGGAAAATTCTGCCCCTCCCCGACATTTGGAGTCCGAAACATCATTATGAGAATGGTCTTGAAGTTACCTTGCCGTTCCATTTAATGCTGACTCTCAACTACTCAGTTGGCACAGACCCCGAAAGCTAAGGACTCAATTCCACAACACGGTCCCTACTTC